GCAATTTTCCGTAATTTCTGCCCTTCCAACTTTCCCCCTATCTGCAATTCCTCTGATGATCTTGTATGTCAACCAAACGAGAAAACTGAGGTTTTCGCTTCCCAGTTTGCCGCCAATTCCACCTTACCCCATTTCTTTACACTTCCACCTTCACTGGCAACCCTTTCATACCTCACATCAGCAATAGGATAATCCGTCAAACATTGCGCTCTCTAAAAGCAAACAAACCACCCGATCCGGACGGTATTCCACCCACCGTCCTCAAAATGCGTTCCAGAGCTGGTTCCTGTTTTACGTCGTCTTTTCAGTCGTTCTCTCCAACTTTCTTCCTTTTTTAACTCCCTGGAAACACAACGTGATTTTTCCCATTCCCAAACGTGGCGACTTTTCTAACCCTAACAATTACCTACCCATTTCTATTGTATCTGTTCTTTTGAAAGTATTTGAAACTATCATTTCTGACCAGCTACGCAAGCTCCTTGAACGCGAAGGACTACTGAGCGACCGCCAGTATGGTTTTCGACCGCATCGTTCCAACGGTGACCTTCTGGCACTTGTTTCACAATACTGGTCGGCTCCACTCGATAACCACGGGGAAACACACTTGGTCTCGCTTAACATCTCAAAGGCTTTCGATCGACCTTGGCACGAGGATCTACTGGCGAAAATACCCATGTTCGGGTTCCCTCCAGCGCTCATAGCGTGGATATCAAGTTTCCTCAGTAAGCAACCCATCTCCGTCCGAGTTGATGGGGTCCTATCTCAGCCATTACCTGTGAACGCTGGTGTTCCCCAAGGTTCAGTACTTGCGCCCACTCTTTTCCTTCTATTTATCAATGATCTCCTTTCCCAAACTGCAACCCGATCCATTCTTTTGCTGATGATGCCACCCTCCACTGCTCCCTCTCCTACCGCACTGCTCAGCATGCCCAAACCAACATCGATGGTGCCCGTAGAGCAGTTAATATGTTACTGGACTGCGATCTCGAACACATCTTCTCATGGGGCATTGTAAACCACGTTTCGTTCAATAGTTCTCAAACCTCTCTTCTTTCAATTTCTTTTAAACACCATTCATTCTCCCCGCATTTATCCTTTGATTCCACCCAACTGCGTTCCACAAATTCTGTTTCCGTTCTTGGATTGCCTGTAACTTCTTCTTTATGCTGGTCCCCCTTTAGAGCTAAGCTTGCTTCTCGTGCTGCGCGCAAGGTTGGATTTCTATTTTACACCAGACGTTTTCTTCACCCCAGCTCATCTTTTATTGTATAAAGCTCAAAGCCGCCCTGCTCTTGAATACTCTAGTCATGTGTGGGCTGGGGCTCCGTCCTCTTCCCTTCCCTTCTTGATCGTGTTCAACGTAAGGACATCCGGTTAATTGATGATCCTTCCCTACCATCCAGTTTGCAGTCGCTAGCC